TATACTATGCTCACAGATGACCCTTTTCTTAAATCCCTCATGGCCTACTAGAGGTCGGAAACACACTTGTAGTAACTCCTTTAGTTATACGAGTTGCCATGGGCGGCGCTGATTGCTCACGATGTTTACCTTCACCGTATGTCAGTGGTGTCTAAATAATCATAGAAAGTACATATAACTCGGAAAAAGTCACATTGGTAGTTGTCAGGTTTCGAACGCCCTCATGCATGAGAAGCCGGCGCCTTAAACTACGGGCCATCACGACGTAAAAAACTGACACGAAATAACAATTACAATATAATTCACATCACACCAACAGCCTTAAGTGCCCACTGCTGAGCAAAGGCCTCTTTTCACACGGAGAATGTTTGAGCATTAATCACCACGCTTGCTCAAGGCGGATTGGAGATTTAAAACTTATAATTAGTAATTATAAGTCGAGGTTTCCTCACGATGTTTACCTTCACCGTATGTCAGTGGTGTCTAAATAATCATAGAAAGTACATATATAGATAACTCGGAAAAACTCACATTGATACTTGCCAGGTTTCGAACACGTTCATGCAAGAAAAGTGGGCGCCTTAACCTCCAGGCTACCACGACACACAATATCGTTAGATAAAAGTTACCTGGGGAATAATTATGATGCTGTCGCGTCACAATGTTTGTATAAGACAGTGACAGCAACAATTTTATTCCTCACATAACATTTATCTGACTGTTGAAAAATCAGCCGTAAGTATTAAAAACGTTTCTTTAAAAAAGAAAATAAACACAAATATTATCTTTGCTACGAAAGAAAATTCGAAAAAAAAACCGAATCGATATCGTTCTCATAATCGGAGCTTGTTTGGAGTGTAATCGCGGGGCGGATGTAAATCCCGCGCTCATTTCCCGGGGCGACATCCCGGAACAATCCCGGAGTGTTTCAGAGATCGCGACTTAAATACGTTTCGATTGAGAATTGAATTTCATTGGCGACGAATTGAATCAGCCGCGAGTAAAGTTTTGAACAAATGAAAGTCGGAAAAATTTCAATTTCAATTAGACCCATACAGGCACTTTTGAACGTCAAACAAAGCTTAAAGATATAAAGTGTCAGTCTGTCGGTCAGTCCTCTAGTGAAGCTATTTGCTCGTTCCAAAGTGTAGATTCCTATGGAGAAGAACGAGCAAGAAACTCCATGGTTACTCTTTTTAAATCAATTTCACATACAGATTCTATTGTACAGTTGTACATCTTTGGGATTGCCATGTTTCTGGAGTTATACTACTACAGCTTAGTATCACGCTAAGGGAACTATCCTAACGCCCCAGCCGCCGCAGTAGGAGACACTCAAGCATCCGTAAGCGCGGGTCTGAGGTCGGCGAGTAAGGGTAGCTCGCCGCCCGACCAGAACTAGACCCTAGCGTACGGCGCGTATCGTTCCGCGCGCGCCTCAAAGAGCCAATAGACCACCACAGACGGGGCCCTATAGGGCTGATGTTCAGCCGGGGTTGCGGGGTAAGCGCAATGTGGCACCGCGACCTCGGCCTAGAGCAGGAGAAGGAACGAGGGGGGTTTTTAGTCAGTAAGAGTCTGACACTCTCTCTCGCCCCACACAGAGAAATTATTTGTCGATTTTTACTTCTCAAAATAAATTCTGAATGAAGGAACTGTCTGTGCATTGGCAGCGCTTCCTCTTAATCCTTTATTCCGGTAGTTTAGAAAGCTCAGTTAGCAATACATATCGTATACTAGCTTCTGCCCGCGGCTTTGTGGTATGTTGATAAAGAGTAGTCTATGTCCTATTCCGGAGTGTATCCTATGTCTGTGCCAAATTTCATCCAGATCCGTCCAACAGTTTTGGCGTGATTCAGTAACAAACATCCAAACATCGTAACTTTCGCATTTATAATATTTAATTAGTAAGATGTACGTCTCAAAGGAATCTAGATATGTCAAGAAGACATAAAATATTGACAGTTAAAAAAATCTCTTCATCAGGTACACTGAATATTACTGAAAACGTCGAAATAAATATTGTTTTATCCATATTTTGTTTTTTGGTTTCATGATTTCTCCATTTATGATCGCTCTTTTTTATATAGATAGGTTGACAAACGAGGAGACCGTACCTGATGGTAAGCAATCAGCGCCGCCCATGGTCACACGGAACGAAAGGAGTTACGAGTGCGTTGCCGGCCTTTTGGGGATAAGGGTTTCAGATATTCAAGGATTGGGGATGGGGACATTGGGCTTCCAGTAACCTCACTCACACGGCGAAACACAACGCTGTGGTTGTTTCACGCCGGTTTTCTATGAGGCCGTGGTATCACTCCGGTCGAGCCGACCCATTCGTGCCGAAGCATGGCTCTCCCACACTTACTCTCTAATGTAGATTCGCTTACAGCTTGAAGCGAAATCAAACGAAAAAGACCTCGATACTGAAATCAAAAACTCTCCAGCATCCAAAAAATTCACGGCAACCGCGTAACGAAAATCAGATTATCTCCTAGAAATGTAACAATAATATTCTAACAATTGCCTCCTATTCTGCTTACGCCACGCGCGATGGCGTGAAGGCGTTTAGTAATTCCGTTCGTCGCCGACTGTTGATTGATTCTTGCAAATATCCGGTAGGGGGCGCCCGCGTGACGTGCATAGGAAACCAAGTGATTTTTTTTATGAATATTTTTATGATTTTTTGCATAGCTCGCATTTGTTAAGTACCTATATCGATTTTTATTCTTTACTTTAATGTATTATCAGTTGATTGGCAATTAATTAGTTTAATTGATAAGATCGAGGTTTCGTTTATTTCAACTAGCGACCCGCCGCAGCTAGGCACGAAAAAAAGAAAGTAAGAATGAAAAAATATTTATTTGAGACTCCCACAGAAAATAAATATAATAACAATTACATTTTATATATACAAAAATAAAACAAAACAACAACAAAAAATATTAAAAAATAAAATAAAAGACCTGTGCGAGGTCAAAAAGGCCACTATCTCAGCATACGCTGCGATAATTCACCAGTAGGTAAAAATACCGCAGCGCTGGTATTCTGATAGGGCCTGGTGTGCAATTCTGATACTAAATATCTCCACTATTTAATGGATGTCATTATACATATAAACCTTCCTCTTCAATCACTCTGTCTATTAAAAAACCGCATCAAAATCCGTTGCGTAGTTTTAAAGATTTAAGCGTACATAGGGATATAGGGACAGAGAAAGCGACTTTGTTTTATACTGTGTAGTGATAACTAGCTTTTTTGTGATAAGTCGGCTAACTAGCAGACGGATTACCTGATGGTAAGCACTCAGCGCCGTATTTGGAAATCCACAACTACATATAGGAGTTACAAGTATGTTGCCGATCTTTTGGGGATTAGGGTATCTGAGATTTAGGTAAGGATTGGGTCATTGGTTTTGTCTACATTTCGACAAATAGGCACATAAATACAAGTATATAAAAAATACACAATAAGAACACCGCACACACACTATCAGGATTCTTAGTCGATTTTTCCATTACGTAGGCGTGGGAATTTTAAAGTAAAATTCAGAATTACACGTGTAATTTATAATATTAAAGCAATATTATAATTTAAACTCACGCTGTTTCACCCACTGCTCGGCTCCATTTAATCGTAGCATGATATTTTATAGCCTATAGCACTCAGGAACATTGTAGCTATATGCATATCAGTGAAAGAATTTTGGCAATCCGACCAGCGGTTCCAAAGATTACCCTCTACATACAAACTTACAAATTTTACCTCTTTATAATATTAGCAGAGAAAAAAATCGACTCAGATATACAGAAAGTTAGTAAATTGTAGCGGTTTTTTTAAAACAGTTTAGCGTTGATCAAAATCGAATATCATTCCTAATTCGAGTTGGTGGCTCTAGTAACACTATCAACAGTGCAAACTGCAGAGCCACCGTCGGACGTAACAGGAAATGAAATGGCTGCATTATCGATGCAGTTTTGTTGCAGCGATCAATGGCAAGGAAATAGTCCTTATATTTTTTTTATTTGTAAGTTTACTGTGATTGAAAAAAGAAGGAAAAGAAATAGTCCTTGGTCTATGTTGGCTGATGGTTTTTTGTTTTTATTTTATAGTATGCTTAAGATGTTTATAATAAGCAGTAAGGTGGCTCGGAGGTTAAGGAGCCCGCTTCTCATGCATGAGGATCCGAAACCTGGCAAGTACCAATGTGTCTTTTTCCGAGTTATATGTACTTTCTATGATTATTTAGACACCACTGACATACGGTTAAGGTAAACATCGTGAGTGAAACCCGGATTTATAATTTCTAATTATAAGTTTGAAATCGCCAATCCGCCTTGAGCAAATGTGGTGGTTAATGCTCAAACCTTCTCCGTGTGAGAAGAGGCCTTTGCTCAGCAGTGAGCACTTATAGGCTGATGATGATGAAGTGTGGGAGATCCATTCGGCACGAATGGGTCGGCTCGACCGATGTGATACCACAGCTCAAAGAATACCGGCGTGAAAATTACGATAGGGTATTGTGCTTCGCCGGATAAGTGGTAACGGAAGACCAATTCCCTCCTTTCCTCCAATCCCTCCCTGATCCCTATATCTCCAAAATCACAATATTAGATTACCCTTATCACTCCTCTGGTGTTACAATCAGGTAATTAGTCTCCTCATTCCAGTTTTAATTTCAGCTGGACAGTTATAATTATGATGGATGACGTATTCTTGTCTGTCCCTATATCCCTATGTACGCTTAAACCTTTAAAACTACGCAACGGATTTTGATGCGGTTTTTTAATAGACAGAGTGATTGAAGAGGAAGGTTTATATGTATAATGACATACATTAAATAGTGGAGACATTTAGTATCAGCTTTGCACCCGTGCTCAGGCGGGGCGGGTCGCTATTTTACTAGAAGAAAGATTTGAAACCTGTTAAGATCATCCGTGTCCCTTTTCTTCAGATCCTCGCAATGAGCTGGCGACGGATGGCACTGGCTGGGCGTTGACATGGCGCAGCAGACTCAGCCTTACCCCATACCCTGGGGCCTGCACTACCAGCACAGGTAATATCAGCATCATCATATATGTGCGGGAGAGCGGAGGAGTTTTTTCGGCACGAGTGGGTCCCCTCGACCGAAGTGATACCACTTCCTCACAGAAATCCGACGTGATATAACGAGTGATGTTACCGGAGGTCCAATTCTTGGTCTCCTCTTATCCCTCCCCATTTCCTAAAAAGCATGCATGAGCCGTGAGTACTTTGGTGTTACAGCTGTCCATATTAGGCCTGTCTCTCCCCTTAATTCTCTGGTCGGTTGCGACATTGAGAGAGTGAAAGCAATGAAGGAGGCACATAGATCGGCAGACGAGAAGACGTATAGGGACTTGATGGTAAGCAATCGGTGCCGCACAGGTACACAAAGAAGTAAATGCAAGTGTGACAGGCCTTTTGAAGGTTATTACGGATTTAGGAATAGGTCTCCGGTAACCCCACCCATACAGCAAAACTCAACGAAATTGTTCACTCCAGTCAATGACGTGTCTACATAACCTCTCCTCTTCTGTTGCAGGGAGTCTTCAACCCCCACATCATCAGGTCGTCCGTACGAGCACCCTCACACACATACCCATCCACAGTTGTACACGCGACATGCGCACACACACGCACACACGCTGATCGACCAGCATGAGCCGTGAGTACTTTTAATATAGTATAGGTAGTGTACTGAAGTAGTCTATACTAATATTATAAAGAGGTAAAATTTGTAAGTTTGTATGTAGGGGGTCTTTTGGGGGGAATCTTTGGAACCACTGGTCGGATTGCCAAAATTCTTTCACTGATGGATAGCTACAATGTTCCTGAGTGCTGTAGGCTTTATACCATCACGCTACGATCAAATGGAGTAGCGAGTGAAACCGCGAGAGAGTTGCTAGTTTTGCATAAATACAAGCAACAATTATGTTTCTCTAAATGTTCCACTTGAATGTGTACATAATATAACTGTATATGCTCTCGAAATGATATTTTTCATGGTAGTCTCAATTTTTTTAAACAGCTTTGCAAAATAATATATAGTTCACACTATAATCACAATAAATAGACCTTAAATCAATTTCGTACTAATTTTCTTTTGTTTTCATAAAATTGAAGCTGTTTAACTAACAAATGCTGTGTACAGAATTGGACCTCTGGTTTATACAATGTGTATATTTAACACGATAATATTAATAATCCTTAATCTGTTGCCTGTTTCTGTACCTATTAAATATAAAATCATATCATTCTTCTCGAAATCAGAGAAATTGGACTTACCAAAGAAGCCTATACTATATAATAATATGTTTACTGATAGACTGTCCAAGATTCCATCATCCAATAGACCACCACAGACAGGGCCTTATAGGGCGGATATTCCTTTGCCTGTTTATCCGTATGTATCAAAAATAATTAATATTGGTCAGGGGCAGGATCAATATTTCCATAGTTATCATTTACCAGTCCATAGCCACCCACACCCATAATCATATAATTTTCTACCATATTGCACAATAGTCCTGCATCAACCGGAAATTGTCCGGGACAGGGATAATTGCCGGCTGATGTCCCATTTCACTAAAATTGAAAGTTGTTCAAAGAGCCTCTGTGAGTTGGCTTCGGGCAGTACACCTTCCAACGGTCCAGAACCCTGTGGTCCCGTGAATGGAAACATACTACGCAGTTTTGGCAAATATGCCCAATCCGAAAGGGGCGCCAAATGGCAAAATTAGCTATGTGTAGTTGGAAGATTATTTTTTAAAATTTTTTATGCCCGTTAGGTGTAAGGGAGAAGGGGAGGAGACTCGTCCTGAATACAGAGACTACACTGCACAATTGCACAGGTAATATCAACAATGGTCTATCCGTCTTTTCCTTAGAAGACCTGCCGTCTTCTCGTCTGGTTTATTAGTAAGTGTAATAGAAACGCGGTCGTTTAAATTTTGGAAGCTGTACTATTTGACAATCTGGCCTTTTTATGGTGTAATTCGGCGAACGAGCAGACGGATTACCTGATGGTAAGCAATCAGTGCTGCCCATGGACACTCCTTAAGGAGTTACTACAAGGACATTGCTGGCCTCTTGTATGTTATTAGAGATTTAAGGATAGGGGATTTGAGGATTGAGGATTGAGGAACTCACTGTGGTTGTTTTACGCCGGTTTTCTGTGAGGCCGCCCGTTCGTACCGAAGCTGGGGTCTTCCGCACTTAATAAATCGGCACCTTGTGGTGTACATTTGCAAACGCATTTGGAAAAGTCCTGTGAGACTTAGATAATTTTTGACAAGCGTCCAGCTTTCGGGCAAGATATGGTATTCTTATTACAATTAAACTATCTTAGTAAGTCACCAGGGCATGCAGGGTCTTCTAAGAAGACATGCTTCGAAGCGCTCAATGCTGTTAAATGCCTGTAATTACGTATTCTTAGGCCAATCGAACTTAAAAGTGCAAGAGGACAACGTGGAGGTATTTCTAGATACCAATAGCATACCATTATATACCATTTTTTTTACCGTGTCATAATGTCTGTAAGTTAACAATATATTACTGGTCAGATGCAGCTCCTACGGAAAGTGTGGTGAGGAGGTCACGGAAGAACCGCGGGAGAGACAGGAACCAGTCTCCAGCACCGACCACCACCAGCACTGGGACGAGAAATTAGGTGAGAATCGCAATCATCATCATCAATCAGCCTTTAAGTGTCCACTGCTGAGCAAAGGTCTCTTCTCATACGGAGACAGTTTGAGCATTACACCACGCTTGCTCAAGGCGGATTCGCGATTTCAAACTTTGATAAATTATAAGTTCAGATTTCCTCACGATGTTTACCTTCACCGTATGTCAGTGGTGTCTAAATAACCTTAAAAAGCGCATATATCTCGGAAAAGACACATTGGTTCTTACCAGGTTTTGAACCCCCATCCGTGAGAAGCTGGTGCTACCACGACGTAACACAATACAATGGAAATTATTTTAAAGTCAGAATCATTTTACTCCAACTAAACCATAAACAGATACTTTTGAAACGGTCAAAATAGAATAGTAGTCTGTCAGTCTGTTCGTCAGTGAAGCTAGGTGCTCGTTCCAAAGTGTAGACTCGAATGGAGAAGAACGAGCAAGAGCTTTCAACTTTAAGAGCTATCAGACTATTGGAGCACGGTACTCTACTGATGGATGTCCAGCTAAAGTTATATGCTTGTTTACCCCTGTTCAAAATAAAAGGCTTGTGGTTTTTTTTTATGTAATAGGTCGGCAAACGAGCAGACGGTTTACCTGATGGTAAGCAATCAGCGCCGCCCATGAACATCGGCAACGGAGGAGTTACGAGTGTGTTGCCGACCTTTAAGGGATTAGGGATTTGGACATTCGGAGATTGAGGAAGGATTGGGTAAGGGGAAGGATTGGGCCTCCGGTAATCTCACTCACACGGCGAAACACAACGCTGTGGTTGTTTCACGCCGCTTTTCTGTGAGGCCGTGGTATCACTCCGGTCGAGCCGACCCATTCGTGCCGAAGCATGGCTCTCCCACACTTGTAACAAAATTTCTCATTTATGATATTAGTTCAAAGTTTATAAGAATATATAATGGATGCATGTTTGCTATTCTTAACGTAAAAACGGCTGGACCGATTTGATTGACATTATGTATGTGCATAGACAGGTGACATGGATTACTACTTTTGATCCTGATAGCTTACACAATCTTTTATCTTCCAGTAAGCAGTTCCCTCTGTTCTACCTCAGCGCCGACCACATCAGCCCGCACTGACGCTTCCTCCCCTCATCAGCACGTCACCACGACACATGCTGGTAAGCACCACATCCTTCTAAACTTACTCCTGAAGTTTAACCCATCAGTTATTGGGGTGTGCCGTCTGATAGGACGACAGACGAGCAAACGGATAACCTGATGGTAAGCAATTAGCGCCGCCCATCAACAACAGAGGAGTTACAAGCGCTTTAGCGGCTTTTTGGGGAATTTGGGGATTGGGGAGGGATAGAGGGTTTGGGCCTCTGGTAAACACGATGAAACACAACGCTGTGGTTGTGTCACGCCGGTTTTTTGTGAGCCAGTAGTATCAATCTGGCCGAGCCGACTCATTCGTGCCGAAACATGGCTCTCCCACACTAAATCGTTACAAATTTACCACATGTAGGCCCATGGACTTCTTTTAAGTAAAAGGTTTAAGTTATATTTTTCAAGGTTGCAAGTTAGGTTAGAGTCGGTTCTTACAAAACTAGCGAGAAGAATAAGGATTTTGACTTGATCAGCCATCACCACATACCTACTTATATAGAAGACTGACTGGTTGGCGCAGTGGTTGGGTGATGGGCTGTTGTGTGAAGTATCTTTTATTTAATTTCATCATGGAACAATTATCTTTTTTCTGTTTCCCATAATGAAGGACACAATTCTAAAAAGCACATTATTGCTTCAAAAACAACGAAACGTAAGCTGAACTGTTCAGAAAATTCAGCCAGGGTTGCGGGTCAAGCGCAATAACAAAGCCATCTCAGCCTGGAGCAGAAAAGGAATGGATTGGGATTTAGTCAGTAAGATTTGTGGACAGCGTTGTGGGTTACATTATGACCACAACATAAAATTGTTAAACTAGTTGTAAGTCTTTATAATGTATCTGTTTGCTGTTCCTCAAAATAAATAAATATAAAATAAGAGTCTGACACTCCCTCTTGCATCTAACCATAGCGAGAGGTTACAGGAAAAAGCTTTGTGTCACACTATGTCATTGAGAAATCCCTAAGACCGACAGCACTTTCATCCCCAACACATAGATGGTTGGCAGTCAAAGTTTTTAGTCAGTAAGAGTTTCACAGTCTCTCTTGCCTAAACCCTTCACGAGAATAATGAACGACATTGATGACTTTTCCCCCTTCCAAAAAAAACTTCAAATAGTATATATCTGATGATGGTACATTACCAGGTGGTGGAAGACGTGGCGCCCTACAGCTGTGGCAGTTCCTGGTCTCCCTGCTAGCTGAGGGGGCGCGGTGCGTCGCCTGGACTGGCCGAGGGCTGGAGTTTAAGCTGCATGAGCCGGAGGAGGTAAGAAAACAAGTCGTTGATAACTTTTTTTATGGTATAGGGCTGCAAACGAGCAGCTGACTACCTGATGGTAAGCCATATAAAAAGTTACTTCAAGTAAGAATCTCTTCGGCAAACGATCCGACACTTTACCTGGTAATGGCAATCTGCACGGCCCATGCCACACGCAACAGAGGAGGACTTTCCAGTTCTTTGCCATCTTTTTGGGGTGAAAAAAGTGCGGCTCGACCGGAGCGATACCACGGCCTCACAAAAAACCGGCGTGAAACAACCACAGCGTTGTGTTTCGCCGTGTGAGCAAGGTTACCCGAAGCCCAATCCTTCCCCTCCCCCAATCCCTTCTCAATCCCTAACGCACTCGTAACTCCTCCGTTACGGGTGTCCATGGGCGGCGCTGATTGCTTACCATCAGGTAATCCGTCTGCTCGTTTGCCGACCTATCACATAAAAAAAACTTTTTGGGCTGATAGAGATTTAGGGGAGGGGAAGGATTGGTCTTCTAGCAACCTCACAATAACAACAACAGTTCTTCATCTGGTTTTCGCAGGTGGCTCGTCGCTGGGGCGCGCAGAAGAACCGTCCAGCCATGAACTATGACAAGCTGTCTCGCTCGCTCCGCTATTACTACGAGAAGGGAATCATGCAAAAAGTCGCAGGTTAACTGTTTGTTCCTTTTATTCTTTTATTTCTTTAAACTAAAGCTGGTAACGCCATCGTAGGTCGCATCATAGCTTACCATCAGACGAGATAATAAGCAAACGTCAGCACATTGCAAACGAAAACAAAGATGTGTGTATTTTTTTTGTGATAGGTCGGCAAACGAGCAGATGAATTTCCTGATGGTAAGCAATCAGCGCCGCCTATGGACACCGAGGAGTTTCGAGAACGTTGCCGGCTTTTTGGAGTAAGGTAAGAAGGACTGGGCTAACCTCACTCGCACGGCGAACCACAAGGCTGGTTGTCGGCTTTCTATTAGACCGTGATATCACTCCGGTCGAGCCGACCTATTTGTGCCGAAGCATTGGCTCTCTAATCAAGGTGGGATTTTATTTATATCACAGGACGGCAAACTAGTTGACGGTTTACCTGATGGTAAGCAATCAGCGCCGCCCATTGACACCCGCAACAGCGGAGGAGTTCCGAGTTCATCGCCAACTTTTTGGGGATTAGAGATTTGGAGATTTTGGGACTGGGAGAAGGGAAGAAGGGTTGGGTCTTTAGTAACCTCACTCACACGGCTAAACACAACGCTATCATTCTTAATGTTTTCTGTAAGACCCTGGAATTACTCCGGTCGAGCCAACCCATTCGTGCCGAAGTATGACTCTCTAATCATGGTGACGAGAATGACGGAATACCTGATGGTATGCAATCAGCGCCGCCCATGGACAGCAGCAACACCAGAGGAGTCACAGGTGCGTTGCCGACCTTTTGGGGATTAGAGATTTGGAGATTTTGGGATTGGGGAAGAAGAAGGGGTATTTAAATTAAAATAATAAAAAAATGTTTTTCTATTTTCCACAGGAGAACGCTACGTTTACAAATTCGTTTGCGATCCGGAAGCCCTGTTCAGCATGGCAGCTCCACCACGTGCGAGATCCCCTCCACCCCCTGCGCCCTACGACGTCCTCACCTCCCTATACGGAGGGGTCTACCCCCAATACCTCCAACCCCCACCTCAGAGCTCCGACTATCAGAGACGGTACTATCACCACCATATCAATCACAGTGGACACTATGAAGCATAGAATAAAGTTGGATTTTGTTTCACATCATCATCATCAGCCTATAAGTGCCCACTGCTGAGCAAAGGCCTCTTCTCACACGGAGAAGGTTTGAGCATTAATCACCACGCTCGCTCAAGACGGATTGGCGATTTCAAACTTGTAATTAGATAATATATAAGTCTACGATTACTTCACAGTATGTCAGTGGTGTCTAAATAATCATAGAAAGTACATATAACTTGGAAAAAGTCACATTGGTACTTGCCAGGTTTAGAACCCTTAGGTATGAGAAGCGAGCGTCTTTACTGGAGGCCATCATTATTAATGGTTTTGTTTTCAATTTAACATTGGGTCTAATATTCAAAGAAATATCAGATGTTTTTACTATTTCAAAGTTGATTTTTTTTAGCGTGGTACTTGAAGTAGTGCCATTGATTTTTCGCTCATGACTAGTCGTGACATGATGCATTAGAAATTTTTTTTTTATTTTTATAGGTTAAATTTGTTTTCTGATGACATATTGTTGATTGAATGTTTATTTTTCGATGTTAAACTGAGTTTGTTGTAAGCAGAAACTTATTTGTATAAGTTTTTTTATTGAATTTGGCTTTTGATTCATAACTTTATTGTTTTGATTAAAAAACAGTCTGTTGATATAATATGTCGTTGATTGAAAGTTGATTTTTCGATGTTAGACTTTTTGGTAAGCAAAAACTCATTTACATACCTAAGTTTTTTTATTGAATTTGGAAATTAATTCTTAACTTTATTGTTTAGATTTTAAAAATAAATTATCTTTGTGATAATAGCTTATTTCCTTACACCAATATCTGTTGTCTCCACACTCAGAATTTCGACTATCAGAGACGGTACTATCATCACTATAAGGCGTAGGAATTTGAACTTCTTTTGTTATATTCTAAAGTCGAATTTGGTTAAATCGATTTCAATTTAGGGTGATAGTCAAAGAATCTTTTCTTCCTTTTCTTTTTCTTTCTTTATTAAAAAAAAACGTTGCTCCACACTAGGATTTTCTCCTGTGTCGTGGGTGCGTTTACAGACATACAAATTCACATACACAACACACACAATTACAATTGATTTTAATTTTTATTCATATAAAAATAAGAACTTAATTGAATTTGTTTGTAAAACTTATAGATTTTGATTAAATCTCTTACAAAAAAATACGCGGTTACATACCCCACCTATGTAACATTTTATTCGTAATACAGGCGAAGCCGATGAATAAACTAGTCTTATCTTAATACATTAGTAAAATAAGATTACCTAATAACTGTACAGCAAAATAAATCTCAACTCTATGTAGAAATATGTACTTTTGAACTAGTATTATTATTATTACCCTAACTGCACTCAAATCAAAGAAGTCATGGATTTTTAACCGACTTCAAAAAAAGGAGGAGGTTCTCAATTCGTCGGGATCTTTTTCTTTATATTTTTTATGTATGTTCACCGATTACTCGAAGACGCCTGGACTGATTTGGAAAATTTTATATCTTCTGATTTATTTCGTTGCGGGATCCAAGACAGTCATTCATGTCCCTGGGACGCGGCGGACTTCAGTGTTCCGGTGTTTTCATGATTGTATCTACTGTAGATCCTGGTGCACAGGAGTTGCAGTTTTGGTCCAACCAAAAAAATACCAATATTAGGAAAATTTCTGAATAAATGTAATTACTTACTTAGTCTAAAATTGAACCAAAGTTAGCATTCCAGTTCTTATAGCGCTAAGAATCTCTAGTCAATAAGTCAACTAATAATTACTAAATTGTGCAATATTAATATTAACATTAGCGATGTAGCCACAATAACATTAGATAATGTAATTTATAATAATTGTAATGAAAAGCAATCTTGTGAATATAATTACAATAAAGATATAATTAGTAAAATTATTTGTTTGTAGTTTTATTTATCAACTAGCTGTTACCCGCGGCGTCGCTCCCGTCATTTGACTACTTACCCTATTCTACCTACCCTACTCTACCTACCCCACACTACCTACTCTATCCTATCCTATGTCCTTCTCCTGGCTCTAAACTACCTCCCTGCCAATTTTCAGCTAAATTGGTGCAGCCGCATATATGTATATATGTATATAAGATAACTTAGTAGATTTTTTTTAAAAAAGCCTATTGTGTGTCCCACTGCTGGGCAAATGCCTCCCCTTTTACCTTCCAAACTTCTTTGTTTAGAGCGATCTCCGGCCAAGTTTGCCCCGCGAACATGATCAGATCGTCACACCACCTTTGCCGTAGTCGACCTCGACGGCGTCAACCTCCTTCAGATGTCCAGTGAGTGACAAAATTCAGTGCATTCGTGCGACATGGCCACTTCAGCCTGGCTATGTTTTCTCCGACATCTGCTATTTGAGTTATGAAGCGCAGCGTGGTGTTTCTAACGCGATCTATTCGCTTAACACCTAAAATGCTGCTCTCCATTGCCCTTTGACAAATCTTGAGTTTGGACTTTTGCTGTTCAGTAAGTGACCAACTTTGAGGACGGGCAGGATACATATGTCGATGAGTTTTCGTTTCAATGTCATTGGAAGGCTACCCTTTAAGTGATCTTTAAAGGCCCAGAAGGTCTTCCAAGCATTTTATATAGCATATATTAGTAGATATGTTATGTATAGTTTATTTTTTATTTTGTGAGGGGTTAATCATCTTAAGGCTACCCAGGGTGAGGCAAGAGGGAGTATCACTCTTAGTGATAGATCCCTCACACGTTCCGCTTCCTTCATAATTGCTTCGCAGAAAGAGGAGACGGTTTCCCAGTCTCTCGCTCCGCACCATGGCCTCCACTAAGGCCGGGCGCGAGAGGTCGCCGCCACCGATCACTCCCCTATGGACACGACAGTGCTCAGCCCAGATAGGGCACACCGCTAGCGTATGTTTCACCGTGTCTTCTAGGTGGTCCTCACAATAACGACACCTGGGCGTTTCCTCCCGCTGGATCCGAAACAGGAACCTACCGAAGCTGCCGCGCCCGTCTCTCAAGCCACTCCTGAAAGAGTATGCGGCTCCATATTTACACAAGCCATAAAGTACAGCAGTGTGATTCTGTAAGACTTCATTCTAAACTTCGAATCTGAATCCGCTGTGAGTAGTACACTAGCGCTACACTTGCGAGTCGAACTAAATTGACAGCATCATTTTGAAAGATAAAGTATGAGATGACGTTAAAAGTGACACACTAAAATTTAATTACCCCGTCACTTCGCACTCGAACAAGATTCAAAATCAAACAAATTTTACAGAATCGACGTGCAGTACCTACTTCCATCTTTGTACCAAGCCTAGGCCATCACTGTGCTTGCTGCGCGGACAGAACTAGACAGTTTTGGAAAAAACAATATTTAATATTTTATTAATTCAAGATAATCAGATCGATGGTAAGCAACCAAAGGAGTAACTAGAACTGCGTTGCTGGATGGCCTCTTGAGGGTTGTTAGAGAATTAAGGATGGCGGATTTGAGGATGGGGGTGGAAGGATCGGAAAACCTCCGGTAACCTCACTCACTCGGCAAAACACAAATGTAAAAGTCGCTTCACGTTGGTTTTCTGTGAAGCCGTGCTGCGGTCGTGCCGACCAATCGTGGCGTACCGTGCACTCTCTTTATTACCAGAAGGTTTTTGTGGATGATATATCTACCGGATCGTGTGAATAAAACAAAACAAACATAATATAAACATTTATTATACGAATTTGACATAAACGTGTACAATTATACAGAAAAACATTGAACAGTCGCGGCGTAACAACTTTTACACAACTTAACTGTCAAACAACTGACATTTATGACAACTGACAGCTGACAACTGTGACATAACTACAAACTTCATAATTATCATCATCATCATCATCATCAAATAATTATCATTTATATAAGAATCTAGATTTTATCACGCATTGCTATCGCCAAGACGTAGGTAGGAATGAAATATGTACGTTAAAAGACACTTTTCATCAATTTAAGACCTCTACCAAAGAAAGAACACGGAATATAATGTAAGAAAAATAATTATAAGTCTTTATAATAACTATCGTGAGACATACTAACTCGCCGCGTCCGCGCACGCTGCTCATGAGGAAGAACCCCTCTGTGGTTCGAAACTAGTAGAGCTTTTCTCAACATTTACACGTGAGTAACCCGCGAATTTTAGTTAATTATAAGTCATCAATTGTTTGACAGTAAACTTGTAATTACAACTATAGTAATTATATAATTATAATACTTTCCTTATAATCTAAAAACAATTATATTATATATAATATCCATAAAAGTATATAATTTTAAAAGAAGACTGAACTTTGAAATAACGACTTAGGTACGGATTTAACTGAAGTAATTGGATAAATAATTCATAATTTTGAATTAAATATATTGCACTTGTAACATATTTATAAGTTATTTAATATAGGAGTAACAATGATAACATTCGATAAAAAAAAATGTTTTACTTATAAAATACACTAGCTTTTGCCCGCGACTTCGTTCGCGTGTAATAGTGACTTCCTGCAGATTGTTGGTATAAAAACTATCCTATGTCTTTTCTCGAGTTCCAAACTAGGTCTGTACCAAATATCACAGAAATAGGTTCAGTAGTTTAGGCGTGAAGAAGTTACAGACAGATAAACAGAGTTATACTTTCGCATTTATAATATTACACATTAAAACTTATATATAAAACAATAATCTCATACAAATTCAGTATATTTACACAAAAAAAAACAATTTAATAACTATACGAATAAACACATTTTCTATATTTATATAAACATTTTGGGCTTAAAAACTATATAATGATTGTATATATAAAAAAAAAACAAATTTATAGGTTGTCTAATAAATTTTCTACATAACTTATATATTAAATAGAAATATTCAAAAACATTGAGTGATAAATCTATGTTAATTATGGGAGAAATCGGCAAACCCTCAACGCCAGAGGAATTGCAAGTGCATTGCCGGGATTTGAGAATTGGAAGGAACTGGGGATCGAGAGAGGATTGTGGACTCCGATAACCTCACTCACACGGCGAAACACAACGCTGTGGTTATTTCACGCCGGTTTTCAGTAAGGCCGCGGTATCACTCCGGTCGAGCCGAAATAATTTTAGTATATAAAGAGTATTTTCGTTATATAACAACAATTTATATAATATTTATGTATATTATATATAATATTTACAATCTAGACTAGATATAGTGGATTTTATAACTAAATTAATACCAAGACTGTGGTCTTAAAACACGATTTTGTGCTTCGAGGTTTGGCAGAATTCATAACAAAATATTAATAGACAAAAAAAAACTTTTTTTTTTTGGAAATAAAAATTATATGATTCAACCAAGTAAGTTGTTGATTTTTATAATTGAGCTAGTTAGTTGATATATAAGAAATTTTGATAGTGCCTTTTGATATGCAGATATGCAGACCCGGGTTTATTTTTCCAGTTTTTTAAGTTTTTTTTTTCTTCTAGTACATATGTAATTCTTTTATTGTTACAGTAAGGAATGCACGTCGATTCTATAAAATTTGTTTGATTTTGAATCTTGTTCGAGTGCGAAGTGACGGGGAATTTACATTATAGAATGTCACTTTTAACGTCATCTCATACTTTATCCATCAAAATGTTGCGGTCAATTTAGTTCAACTCGCAAGTGTAGCGCTAGTGTAACTACTCACAGCGGATTCAGATACGAAGTTAAGAATGAAGTCTTACAGAATCACATGGCTGTGTGAGACTTTGCCGCGCTTTTCGACTGCTAGTTATCTGCGTTCTGACAGTTTGAGTACTTGCGCGACCCAACCAAATGTTCTTTAGATCGGTATTGTTCGTCGGACAACTCAGCAGCACTTGCTATGCTGGTTGCAAACTGACACTTGCGTGCCTGTCTTCAGAACGGGTCCACTTAAACTGGTGTGGTTCTTTCATCAAAATACCACTACAGAATGAACTTGCACGGTTCTCTCACATTATATTATTTTCACATTGTCTGGACTTGAAAAGAGACTGACCTCTGAGTTTGTTTCGGCATTTCTTCTCAGAGTAGTCAGATAGGAAATGCCGGCTTCATCTAGTTTTTTTTTTACATATAATTTGACGTGTAAAAGTGCTGTGTTATGATCTATTAATTTATTTCAAATATTTTGCACAGATTAACTATTGAATTATCTGAAAATAATAAAACAAAAAAGATGCAATTATAATATTACTGAAAGGTGAAAACGATTATAAATAATATCTGTGTGCGTTTAATATCCTAAATTATTTAGATTTTTTTTAAGAAATTTTGGACGAAAAACTTTCGTTGCGCAAAGGTTGCGCTAAGTTGCGCAAAGCGTTAATCAATGTAACATCCACTTTTCACTAGTAAAGTTATAAAATTGGGGGCAATTCTTATGGCCATACGACGTTTAAAGTACTGTATATTAAAGTAAAATAAAAAATAACTCTCAAAAATGTTTTTTAGGCTGGCAAATCGAATCAGTGACAACAAAATCGTGTTGCGCAAACGAAAACCCGGTTGCGCAACTTTGCGCAACGATGTAAAAAGATAACATTGTTAAGAAAAACCCTCGTAGAAACGGTTAAACGTTATTTTCGCCCTATAATATCAAATTACGATACATTTTGTTATTGTCTTCATTCAGACACTTTACTAAACATCGAAAGCTTAAAACTACTAGTACTAGGGCCACTGACAGAGTTTCAAATAGACCTAACTGTCGATTTCCACTATTTCATGAAAAAAAATACCACCGTCATTCTTCCCGCTGGTGCCACATACCCGGCTATAACACTGCATACTAGACAGAGACCGGGCATTAGCTCTCTCTGATAAACCTGAACCTTTTAAAATGCGATCTCCAACCCGCCTGTCTGTGGAGATTGTGGCAAACCCCTCTTATGTAGAGGAGGCACATACTCCAATGATACAGTGTGGTCAGTTAAGCCTATCTAAAACACAATCTACAAATAGTATTTTTAATAAAACTCTAATTACAGTTCTATCATTCAATTTTGACATCTATCTCCTTAGATATAAGGCTGATCTTAACTGCATTAAATTAAATTGGTTGCAAAATTGTTTATGCGTTCGAAAAGTACTTATACCAATTGAAATAGAGTTCAAAATTGAATGATTGAGCTGTAAATATACATATGTAGATACTTTGGTATATTATTTAGTGCATTTACCTAATATCGCTGACTCAGTCTCTCGCTAGACGTTTTATATGTGCTAGACAGAGACAAAGGATGCGATAAATAACAATCTTATGTATATAAAACGAGACTATAGTTTTCATTGTTAAACCAAATTCAAATTTATAACTAAAGGAACAGAGTTGATATTATTTTGACAACATTCTAAAATAGATTTTGACATTGATTTTGAATACTAAACACATTTATACTCTATTTGCATTGATATAAAGTTCAGTATCACTTAAACATACATGTATTGAAGTAATAAATCTATGCAAAACACTTAACAGTCGATAATATCATAATATTACAACAAATTGACATTTGACATATCATTTGACATTATACAGGGTGCGATAATATCGAAACCTGGCAAGTACCAATGTGACTTTTTCCGGGTTATATGTACTTTCTATGATTATTTAGACACCACTGACATACGGTGAAGGTAAACATCGTGAGGAAACCTGGACTTGTAATTTCTAATTATAAGTTTGAAATCGCTAACCCGCCTTGATCAAGCGTGGTGGTTAATGCTCAAATCCTTTCCGTGTGAGAAGAGGTCTTTGCTCAGCAGTGGGCACTTATAGGCTGATGATGGCAACTTAGTCAAAGATAGACTTTACAATACAATAAAAAATATTCAAAAACAAATTTTTTTCCATTGATTTTTTAACTACATATATATACTTAATATGACTGACTGACTGCACGGTTGGCGCGGAGGCTGGGCAACTGGCTGCCGTGCAACGTGTCGCCGGTTCAAACCCGTACGGAACAACTCTTTGTGTGATCCACAAATTGCTGTTCCGTGGGTCTGTGTGTGATGTGTATGTGAAATTGTATTGTTTTTCGTTCCAAGCCCACATCCAAAGCGTGGAGGATTAGGTGTAGCGTAAATTAATATGGGCGAAAACAGGTATTTTTAAATATTAGGTTTAACCATAGGTATTAGGAATAATTCCACGCATTAATAACACAGTAACTTGGCGAACGTGTCCCAAAAAATAAAAAAAAATCTGCTTATTATAGGTTGCATGAAAAATTTAAACGAATTTTTTTATTTGAAATGCGATGAAAATGTAACACTAATCAATAAACAAATGACTACTTTTGGAAAAAGAATCCCATGTTTTTAAAACAAAATTAATTAGCCTTAGCCAAACAAAAACTATTTTGATTTGAAATGGCCAGAACTGCAGAACGGCAATTTCATAGGTTACCTATTATTTCTATCTCCAAGTGCACTTTTTTAAGATAACAAGGGAATTAGGTAGTTTCGTTAGTCAAAAAGAGATATTATTTCAACTTTTGCCGGCTGCAGTCTTTCCGTCCGAATACAATTTAGGTGTCTTCAAGGCTAGAGTGAATAGGCTCTTAATAAACTAGTGCGCCTTACCATCAACGATTGCATCACTGCTTAACATCAGGTGGGATCGCAGTCAAGCACTAGTTTAAAAAAAAACTTATAAAACTGTTCTATAGCAACGCATACGCATGGAAATAATCGCATTTTTTTCACAATTAAGTATGTAATAAAAACATAAGGTCAAAACGTGCTATTTGATACAACATTTTAATATAGAAAAATATAATTTTTAACATTCCAGAAAAAGTATTTTAGACTTGACTAGTTGGAAGTTCCCCTTATTGCAATATTATTTTAATTTCCAAGGTGATTCTGTACAATTGGGTAGTTTCCTAGGTCAAAAATAAATTAATTCGATGTTTCAATACAATAAAATATTGAAAAATAACTATACTTTTATTCATCGATCGATCGATACACTAACGCCCGGTTTCTGAAAGGCTTGTCAACGCTAAAATTAACTAATCTCCCGTTAAATCTCTTGTCAAGTCATCTGATTGGTTGTTGATAATTCAGTCTACCATTCAGATGACTTGACAAGAGATTAAATTGATTTTAACATTGATCGGCCTTCGGAAACCGGGTGTAAGTTATAGATTTTTTTTAGCTAATTATTAAGAAATAAGTAAGCTATTTGACGCAAAAATGTGATGACGTCATAGCTCAGTTTTTCATACAAATTTCATAGAAAAGTATCGTTTTTGACGTTTGGATAAAAGTATTGAATTTGACTGGTTGGAAACTACCGTGTTCTCTTTGCACACCATTCATGATCCCAAGGTCACTCCACTCAGCTACCAAGGTCGCTCCACTATAACCCAAGGTCACTCCTCTCAGCTACCAAGGTCGCTCCACCATAACCCAAGGTCACTCCTAGGCTAGCTATTGAAATGTACGGCGACATCTCGAAGTGTATTCTTAATTGCGTCGTAAGTCGCGAAGGATATGCCAACAGCGATTGGACCTTTAACCCAGTTCATGCTGAGCCCTTTGAAGAAACCACGCCAGCCTTCCGAACTGAAAAAAAAGGAATAAATATTATATTTATTTCAAATATGCACTATTGAACGTCAAACAAAGGCCCCTCCCCCCCTTTTTTGTAAGGGGAAAATCATCAAATGACTTCTCCCGCCCAGGACCGGGCGGGAGGGAGTGTCAGACTCTTACTGACTAAAAACCCCCCTGTTCCTTCTCCTGCTCTGTGCCGAGGTCGCGGTGCCTCATTGCGCTTACCCAGCAACCCCGGCTGAACATCAGTCCTATAGGGCCCCGTCTGTGGTGGTCTATTGGCTCTTTGAGGCGCGCGCGGAACGCTACGCGCCGTACGCTCGGGCCTGGTTCTGGTCGGGCGGCGAGCTGCCCTTACTCGCCGACCGCAGGGCCGTGCTTACGGTGGCCGGAGATCGTCCCTTAATAGTGAGATGTCGTGAGATTTTATTCAACCCCCTCCTTCATCCCCGAATGTCACGTGAGATTGTTCAAAATGTGAGTTTCTTACGTAAACGCGTTGGATTGTTATTGTAAAAAGACCTTTTATTAGTAAATGATCTTAATCGTACTACGATTACGCTTAAGATTAAATCTTAAGCATGTACAATCTGGATTAAATAGACCAAAATAGGATTTTTTTTTTCATTTTATTCACAAAAAAAATTGCGTGATATTTGCCGAGACGTAACCTCTCTCCAATGTAAGATTAAATGAGATTTGACTCGACCCCCTCCCCCCCTTAAACACCTCACGTAATTTATGGACGCCCCCCAATGAATGAAAAAACTATATATCAAAAAGTTCTACTTTATGCGTGTCAGTCTGTCGGTCAGTCCTCTAGTGAAGCTATTTGCTCGTTCCAAAGTGTAGATTCCTATGGAGAAGATCGAGCAAGAAACTCCATGGTTACTCTTTTTAAATCAGTGTCACATAAAGATTCTTTGATACATCATTCAATCCGTTCTATTATTTGAGAACAGTGTAACAGATCGATCTGACCTCACAGAAACCGTCGTGAAACAACCACAGCGTTGTGTTGCGCCTTGTGAGTGAAGTTACCGGAGACCCAATCTATCCAGCTCTCCCAATCCTTAAATATCCGAGACCCTTATCCCTAAAAGGTCGGTAACGCACTCGTTATTCCTCCGTTGCGGGTGTCCATGGACGGCGCTGATTAATTACCATCAGGTAATCCGTCTGCTCGTTTGCCGACATATTCCATAAAAAAGAAAAAATATATAAACATAGATTGCAAGTTGCATGTCTCTTACTTGTAAACAAGGACCAATGTTTCTCCGATGCTCCGGTACGGGTAGGTGCCGTCCTTCCGTCGCCGTGCCGTCTGCATCCGGCGCCGGACGATGTCCAGCGGGTAGGACGCCGTTTGAGCTATGGCGCCCGCACATCCACCTAACGCTACGTTCACTAACGCACCTTGCGGCTTACCGAAATATTCTGAAGGAGACAGACATCGAAATGAAATGGTGATTATATTTGAGCTGTTTTGTAGGTCGAAAATAAATTAAGTGTGTGTATGTGGGAGATGCATACAGGCTTTTGCGCGAATGGTTCGGATAAAACCCGCGTGAAACAACCACTATAGCGTTGTATTTTGTTGTGTGAGTGAGGTTACCGGTAGCCTAATCCTAACCCTTCCTGATCTCTGAATCTACAAAACCCTAATCCCCAAAAGGCCAATAAAAATCAGGTATTAACTCAAAAGTAATTTAAACTTCTTAATGCAATAAAACACTTAAAAAATAATTTATAAGAATACTAGCTACTCTCGCGCGGTTTCACCCGCTGCTGCTCAGTTCTATTTGATCGTAGCGTGATGTTTTATAGCACAAAGGAACATTGTAGCTATCTATCAGTGGAAGAATTTTGGCAATCCGACCAGCGGTTCCAAAGATTACCCCCTACATACAACCAAAAAAATTTTACCTCTTTATAATATTAGTATAGACAACGATCATAGATTATAACGATTTACTCGCGTGAATTAATTGGGAAACGCTCTACTGGTTTCAAGTGACAACGGGACTCTTATTCATGAGATGGTCTTGTAGAGCATTATCAGTTAAATTTTGTACATAAAGTAAAGAAAGAAAGAAAAAGAAAGAAAACTGTTTTTATGTAACGAAATTAATGCGATGTCAATAACGTAATTTGACATGTTAAAGTTTGTATCATTAGAGTATATGTTGACCTTACAGTAGGTACTTACCTAAGTACTTATGTTTGAGCGTGTCGTAAGTGAAGAAGGAGACGCCGGCGTACGGGATCACGCCGAGCACAGTCGCCGAGTAGCCTCTGCATAACGTCACAAACGTCTACATTAATAAAAGTATTTTAGGGAGAATGGACTCGTGGAAGAAACAGAAAAAAAAGTCGAATGTCAAAAACATTTATTCCAACTAAACTGCTGTACCTACGAAAAATGTCAAATTCAATGTCAAAGTCAACGTCAACGTCAAACATGTACTTTTGAAACGTCAAAATAGAATAGTAGATAGTCTGTCAGTCTGTTCGTCAGTGAAGCTAGGTATACAACATACTTTTACAAAATGTCAAATTCAGTGTCAAAGTCAAAACGTCAACGTCAAAAAGGTACTTTTGAAACGTCAAAATAAAATAGTAGTATGTCAGTCTGTCCGTCAGTGAAGCTAGGTGCTCGTTCCAAAGTGTAGACTCGAATGGAGAAGAACGAGCAACAAACTCTATCGTAACTGTTTTGAAAAAACATGTTTAAAAATCTCACTTCTTCTGATTAAGCACAGCTATGTCGGCTCGACCGGAGTGATACCACGGCCTCACACTACCACAGCATTTTGTCACGTCATCAAACCAGGCCCGAGGCCCTATTCACGAAAAAGCCGAAAACACGGGCAATTTCCATAGCGTTATAAGTATTTCATATGGTCATATGGTGTAAATTTTGCGATTTACGCAAATCTTTGTGCCCCGCGCAACAAAACTTTGGAATGGTCTTCCGGCGGCGGTATTCCCGAACCGATACGACCTTCAAACCTTCAAGAAACGAGCGTACTCCTTCTTAAAAGGCCGGCAACATGCCTGTGACTCCTTTGGTGCTGCAGGTGTCCATGGGCGGCGCTGATCGCTTACCATCAGGTGATCCGGTTGCTCGTTTGCCTCCTATTCCATAAAAAAATAGCTTATTATTAAGAGATCTGTCTTCTCGTTGGTTTAAGGAGCTTGAGAAGCTGGTGAAATGATGAGGGAGTTGCTAAGCCTAAGAATGGGAGAGCCAACCTTCGGCTAGACCGGAGTGATACCACGGCCACACAGAATACCGGCGTGAAACAACCACAGCGTTGTGTTTCGCCGTGTGAGTGAGGTTACTGGAGGCCCAATCCCACCCCTTCCCCTATCCTTATATTCGCAACCCCTATCCCCAAAAGGCCGACAACGCACTCGTAACTCTTTTGGCGTTGCGGGTGTCCATGGGCGGCGCCGATTGCTTACCATCAGGTAATCCGTCTGCTCGTTTGCCGATTTATACCATAAAAAAGCCATACCTGTAGAGGGTCCTGAGTCCCTCATCATGGGCCACCCTCACGAAGACAGTCCTCAGAGTGCTGTACTCTGCCACGTTAGTGACTGCCATGCGAGCTCGTGCCATGTCCAGGGGATACGTGGCTGACTGTGACGTCACTCCGGCCAGGGAACCCGCTATTAGGTGAAGGACTGGGTGCGCTCTGCAAAAAAGATTAAACAACTTTTTTCAGACTCTTTTTGGCTAAAACCAAATCAAGCGTGGTGGATATTCTTTAAACATTTTTTTAGGAAATAAGTAAGCTATTTGATGCAAAAATACTATGACGCCATAACTCAGTGCTTCATATACAAATTTCATAGAAAAGTATCGTTTTTGACATTTGGATAAAAGTATTGAATTTGACTAGTTGGAAACTACCGTATTCCCGTTCCGGTGGAATTTTTAGGGAATTCCTTTCTTAAGTGCACCTTGACGGTACCTGAGCTACGTTCCTTTCAAATATCAAGTGTCAACGTGTATCCGTTTAGACTGTGCGTTGATATGTCTGTCAGTCAGTCTTTTTTTAAGACGTTGCCCCACTCTAGGATTTTCTCCTGTGTCGTGGTTGCGTTTACAGACACACAATTTCACATGCACATCACACCCAGACCCGGAACAACAATTTGTGGATCACACAAACTGTTGTTCCGTGCGGGAATCGAACCAGCGACACGTTGCACGGCAGCAAGTTGCCCAGCCACCGCACCAACCGTGCAGTCGAATCTCTCTTTTATCATACCTATTAAGCTAGTATATACTTACTTGGCACTCTGTGGCGTGTCTACTCCAAGCGCTTTCTTCCACTGCTCATGGGCTGTGAACTGTATAGCGGCGTATGGCACAATCCGCGCCATAGTGGCGCTGTTACCCCTCCATAGTGCTAGAAAACCCTCCGTGCGGGCACTCTTGAGGAGGAAATTTATTGCCGCTCTCCAGGAATAGGGGGTCTGCCTGTAAACGTAAGAAAAACAATATAAACTTAGTGTGGAAGACCTATGCTTCAGCACAAATGGGTCGGCTCGACCGGCAAACGACCAGACGGATTACCTGATGGTAAGCAATCACTAAAGTTATCGACATAGCCGAACGGATTAGCAAACTGAAGTGGCAGTGGGCAGGTCACATCTGTCGAAGAACCGATGACCGCTGGAGTAAACGTGTTGTAGAGTGGAGACCACGTCTAGGCAAACGTAGTGTAGGGCGCCCTCCAGCTAGGTGGACTGACGATATCCGTAAGGCCGGCAGTGGTTGGATGAGAAGAGCTGAACATCGAGCTCAGTGGCGTGCTATTGGGGAGGCCTATGTCCAGCAGTGGACATAGTGAGCAATCAGCGCAGCCCATGGACACCCGAAACGGAGGAGTTACGAGTGCGTTGCCGATCTTTTAGGGATTAGGGATGTGGAAATTTAGGGATTGAGGAGGGATTGGGGGTGTGGAAGGATTGGGCCTCCGGTAACCTCACTCACACGGCGAAACACAACGCAGTAATTGTTTCAGGACGGTTTTCTATGAGGCCTTACACTCGAGCCGACCCATTCGTGACGAAGCATGGCTCTCCCGTTTTAAGTTAAGTAAAAATCCGACCTTCTCATGTTTTATGACTGTATTTGGTATAATTTTCAAGTGTGGGAGAGCCATGCTTCGGCACAAATGGGTCGGCTCGACCGGAGTGATACCACGGCCTCACAGAAAACCGGCGTGAAACAACCACAGCGTTGTGTTTCGCCGTGTGAGTGAGGTTACCGGAGGCCCAATCCTTCCCCTTCCCGGACCCTTCCCCAATCCCTAAATCTTCAAATCCCTAATCCCTAAAAGGTCGGCAACGCACTCGTAACTCCTCCGTTGCGGGTGTCCATGGGCGGCGTTGATTGCTTACCATCAGGTAATCCGTCTGCTCGTTTGCCGACTTATCACATTAAATAAAAAAAAAATATTGAAGTAATACAACATACGATATCTGAAAGTTGATCTTGGTGCGATCCAGTGGAGCTATGGCAGTCTTCGCGATGGCGCCGGCGGTGGCGCCAGCAATGAGTGATGTGACCACTGTGGTGCCCCGTCCCAGGCCCGAGTGGTCCAGGGGAGCCTTGTGGACTGCTGGCTCTGAAATAAACATAAAGACTATAAATACCAGTTGATAACGATCACACTTTTAAAAAATCGCATCAAAATCCGTTGCGTAGTTTTAAAGATTTAAGCGTACATAGGGATATAGGGACAGAGAAAGCGACTTTGTTTTATACTGTGTTGTGTAGGTAGAGTGATTGAAGAGAAAGGTTTATAATATATATATATGTATGTATTATGACTCGAAACTGGTAGAGATTTCCTTAATTAATGTCATGTGAATAAGAATATTATAAATGCAAAAGTAAATCTGTCTGTCTGTCTTTTCTTCACGCCTAAACTAAACTGAACAGATTTCTGTGCTATTTGGTACAGACATAGTTTGGAACTCCACATGAAAGAACATAGGATAGATATTTTTATACCAAAAATCTGCAGAAAATCACAATTTCACGCGAACGGAGTCGCGGTCAAAAGCTAATCTTCTTCTTATATATAAAAATGGATCGCAAAATGTGTTGGTAAGCGCATAACTCAACAACGCCTGGACCAATTTTGCTAATTCTTTTTTTGTTGTGTTTGCTATTGTCAGGAGAAGGTTGTTATCAAAGAAAATATTAGAAAAGTAGAGGGGAAGATTAGGAAAAAGTGACCCTTTGATATCGAGATAGTTGGACCCGTGCGAAGCGGGGGGCGAGCCGCTAGTTAAGAATAAATGTAGTACCTATGTTTCTCTATAGTTATTATAAAAATACATGATATGATTACAAAAATAAACAAATTGCTTAGCAATACATCAAGTATATATCGATTGATAATATTATCGTGATAATCGATGTATTACAAGTAGCTACTACTCGATTTTTTTATCATTATCTGTTTTATCAGTAAATCCACGAGATTTCTCGAGATGTGACGTGGAGGATTATTCGAAAACCAAATATCAAAGTCAAAGTCAAAAGTCAAAAGTCGAATCATTTATTTTGAACGTCAAACCAAAATATCAAACAGTTCAACTTTGTGTTTATCAGTCAGTCGGTCAGTCCTCTAGTGAAACTATTTGCTCGTTCCAAAGTGTAATCGTCTGTGTAGGGATGCCAGGAGACGATACTTTGACGATAACCTAACTAATCACAACGCTGGTGATGTTTGGAAGTTCCTACGTTCTGTGGGTATCGGCAAAGCCCCAATTAATGTTTGTAAAGATGTTGACCTTACCTCCCTAAACCATCACTTCTCCCTCTCCCCTGTTTATCTTGACTGCCTTACTAAATCTATCACTCTTCTCGATCTTTGCTCCTCTTCACCTCCCTCCTTTTCTCCTTTTGAGCTCAGTAGTGTCTCTGAAGATGATGTTAGAAAATCTATGCTCGCCATTAACTCCTCGGCGGTGGGTGAGGATGGTTTATGCTCCCGCATGTTTACCCCTATTCTAAATCACCTTCTCCCTATCCTTACTCACATTTTCAATTTTTCCTTATTCTCTTGCTCCTTCCCTTCTGCCTGGAAAAATGCCCATATTATCCCTTTACCTAAAATCAACAATCCCTCGTCTCTTACTCATTACCGACCTATTTCCATCCTGCCTTTTCTGTCTAAAGTTATGGAACATATTGTTCACAGGCAGCTAACTTCATTCGTAACATCTAGCAACCTTATCTCTCCCTATCAATCTGGCTTTCGCCCCGGCCATAGCACTGTCACGGCACTGCTCAAAGTAACCGATGACATACGCTGGGCCAGGGACAACAAGTCCCTTACTGTTCTTGTGCTGTTGGACTTCAGTTCTGCCTTCAACTCTGTGGATTTTGACATACTGTTGGGGGTCCTGAAGGCCAATAATTTTTCTGTTTCCTCTTTAGGCTGGTTTGAGTCTTATCTTCGGGGTCGCCGTCAGCGGGTCCGCCTTGAGGAAACCTTATCTGATTGGTGCGACCTTGCGACCGGGATCCCTCAGGGTGGCGTCCTCTCTCCTCTGCTTTTCTCCATCTTTATCAATACCGTTGCCAGGGTCATTTCTTCTAATTACCATCTCTATGCGGACGATTTGCAGCTGTACCGTCACTTCGGCATGTCTGAAGCTCATTCTGCTATCGATGCCATGAATCGTGACTTGGATGGTGTTGCTGAGTAGGCCAGATCTTTTGGCCTGCAAATCAATCCTCTCAAGGCTCAGGCCATGATCATCGGTAGCAGATATTATCGTAACACTTTCGACGTCTCTGGCCTCGGTCCATTGCGTTTGAATGGTACAGCGATTCCATTTACCGATAGTGCTAAAAACTTAGGTGTACTCATTGACTCGAATTTATCGTGGGATGCCCAGGTGAATGAAGTCAGTCGGAAGGTTCATTTTTCTATTCATTCGCTGAGGCGCCTCCAGACCCTGCTGCCTGTGAAAACAAAGATTTGCCTTGTCCAAGCGCTGATCATGCCTCTGATGGACTATGCAGATGCTTGCTATCTGGATGCCACTGAGGAGCTATTAAATAAACTTGAGCGATTGCAAAATCTATGTATCCGCTTTGTATTCGGTCTTAAGAAGTATGATCATGTCTCCGAATTCCGCAATAAGCTCAAGTGGCTCCCTATCCGTCTTCGCAGGAACACTCGCATTTTATGTCTCCTCTACAATTCCCTCTACAATCCAACTTATCCCGCTTACCTCCGTGACCGTTTCTCCTTGGTGCGTCCTCCTGAAGTCCTAACTCGTTCTCATCTCAAGTCCAACCTTAAAATCGTGCCTCATAATACCGACTTCTTCTCCTATTCTTTTACCGTTTATGCTGTGAGACTGTGGAATTCTCTCCCGCCTAACATTCGTGACGCTAAATCGCTCGCTCTCTTCAAAGAACTAGTTAAAGACCATTATCTTTCTTCATGAGTACTTGCAGTTACGTTTATTTATATGTGTATCTTATCTATTGTTATTATTATATATTAAGTATTTATATTAATATGATATATATATATATATATATACATATATTACCTATTTGTTATCGTTAGTTCTTTTTTTTCACTTTTGTTACACACTGTGTCTTATATTTTAATTACATTTCCTGTCTCAGGTCTACTGGAAGAAATTCCAACAGGAATAAGTAGCACCTTTGTACTCTTATTTTTTAATGTATTTTCCTCTGTGCTGTTTGTGTGTACATAAATTATTAAATAAATAAATAAATAGATTCCGATGGAGAAGAACGAGCAAGAAACTCCATGGTTACCCTTTAACTAACTTCTATCCGCTGGCCCAATAGAATCAATGTCACCCTCTTAGAAAATCACCACATCATCAGCCTATAAGTGCCCACAGCTGAGCAAAGGCCTCTTCTCAAACGGAGAAGGTTTGACCATTAACCACCACGCTTGCTCAAAACTATGAATTATTACATGATCGATTCATAATTCTACTATTACAGCTGTACTGAGAAAAAAGTATTTGCTTACCATCAGGTCAATGGTATGCTTTTAACTTGTGTAGTGTCCTAGGTCAAAAATAAATTAACTCGACGTTTCAATACAATAAAATATTGAAAAATAACTATGAGTACTTTTATTCATCGATCGATCGATACACTAAGTTTTAGATATTGTTTAGCTAGTAATTTTTAAGAATTAAGTAAGCTATGTGACGCAAAAATACTATGACGTCATAAATCAGTTTTTCATAAAAATTTCATAGAAAAGTATAGTTTTTGACATTTGGATAAAAGTAATGAATTTGACTAGTTGGAAACTACCGTATTAAAACTTCAGTTCGCTGTACCACAACCCTCATTTTTTTAGGGCACCTATGGATACCCGTAATTGTGGAGGTTTTTCGGGTTAGGGATTTGGAGATTTTGAGAATGAGGAAGGATTGGGCCTCCGATAACCTCAATCACACGGCGAAACACAACGCTGTGGTTGTTTCACGCCAGTATTCTGTGAGGCCGTGGTATCAATCGGTACGAACCGAAGCTTGGTTCTCCCTCACTTTTGACCATAAGCTTACAGATACTTTCAGACGACAGCATTTCAACCTACTCTTTCTATCAACCTCATTTTTAACTTTATAACTACGACATAAGGTAGAAATTGCAATAAAAAAAACTGACAGATTGGTGTACATTGATCTGCGAATGTCTGAATATGAGAATTTAAATATACATATATATATATATATATATATACTGTTATCAGTATAGTCGTGTTTACAGCGAGTACATACAAGATAACAATAATTGACTTTCTAATTTTATCTCTAAGACATTACATTTGATGCAATCCCTCAGAGATATTCGCAAAGTGGAGAAATTATTGAGGGTTTTGGAGATTTGGGGATTGGGAAGGGGTTCACCAATGCCTAAATCTCCATAAACCCTTATCTCCAAAAGGTCGACAACGTTCTCCTAACTCCTCCGTTATTGGAGTGTCCATGGATGGCGCTGATCGCTTACCATCAGGTAATCCGTCTGCTCGTTTGCCGACATTATGACATAAAAAAAAATATGATCATATCGTCACATTAAAACTTGTCGAAGAACCGATGACCTTTGGAATAAACGTGTTCTAGAGTGGAGACCACGTCTGGGCAAACGTAGTGTAGGGCGCCCTCCAGCTAGGTGGACTGACGACATCCGCAGGGTGGCTGGCAGTGGTTGGATGAGAAGAGCTGAACATCGAGCTCAGTGGCGTGCAATTGGGGAGGCCTAAGTACAGCAGTGGACGTTATATATATGTACTTTCTATGATTATTTAGACACCACTGACATACGGTGAAGGAAAACATCGTGAGGAAACCTTTCTTTTTTTGTGAGAGGAAAATCATCAAATGTCTTCTCCCGGCCAGGATGAGGCGAGAGGGAGTGTCAGACTCTTACTGACTAAAACCCCCCTGTTCCTTCTCCTGCTCTGGGCCGAGGTCGCGGTGCCTCATTGCATGCCTCATTACCCCTCCACCCCGGCTAAACATCAGCCCTATAGGGCCCCGTCTTTGGTGGTCTATTGGCTCTTTGAGGCGCGCGCGGAACGCTACGCGCCGTACGTTCGGGTCTGTGTTGATCGTGAGAAAATTTTGACTTATAACTTCTAATTATAAGTTTGAAATCGCCAATCCGCCTTGATCAATCGTGGTGGTTAATGCTCCAACCATCTCCGTGTGAGAAAAGGCCTTTGCTCAGCAGTGGACACTTATAGGCTGATGATGATGATGGTAACTCACCATGGTGTGTATGAGCTGGTGCCTGCCTGTCTCCATGCAGCAGAGGGACGCGCGCCTCCCCGACCGCCATCTTGTGACGTCACCACCTCACATTACTCGACACAACTGCACAGAAAATAAATACAAGCATTAGCAAGATAGTCCACCTCAAAAATTCACTAGACAGTATAAAACAAAGTCGCTTTCTCTGTCCCTATATCCCTATGTACGCTTAAACCTTTAAAACTACGCAACGGATTTTGATGCGGTTTTTTTGCGGTTAGATAGAGTGATTGAAGAGGAAGGTTTATATGTATAGTAAAATTTGTTAAACAGTGGAATCTATTACTATCACCCGAGCGAAGCCGGGGCTGGTCGATGTACTCAATAAAACATATTTAATACATCCACGTACACATTTCGAGGACGCTCGTTGAGTTTCGAGATATATCGAAATATATCCAATTTCAATTTCAAATTCTTTATTTGCATGTTAAGGTGGGTACAAGGATCTTAAATTAAAATAACAGGCACAGCTTAACGGCCTTTTTCAGGCGTTGCAAAGAGGGCTATTACTAGCTTATAAAATAATATTAAATTACTTAATTTACATCACATTGCATAAAAGAGAAAAAAAACAAAAAAGTTAACAATTATATAGGGTTTACAGTTATTAGATATGTACAATTTTGTATAAAGAAAACTGACGATTCCTTTCTACAAAGAAAAAAAACGATTAGCTCATGACGGTACTAACAAATGCATCCATATTACTCAAAGTCCTATTTCAACAAAGCGCCAATAAAATGCATTGAAGACACAATTGCACTATTGAGGCGGCCCGCGTGAGGGAGCAATCCTCCTCCTTACGCCCCAGCAGCCGCAACTGGCGACACTACGGGCGTCGGGGATCGAGGGACGATCTCCGGCCACCGTAAGCACGGGCCTGCGGTCGGCGAGTAAGGGCAGCTCGCCGCCCGACCAGAATCCAGGCCCGAGCGTACGGCGCGTAGCGTTTCGCGCGCGCCTCAAAGAGCCATTCGACCACCACAGACGGGGCCCTAAAGGGCTGATGTTCAGCCGGGGTTGCGGGGTAAGCGCAATGAGGTACCGCGACCTCGGCACAGAGCAGGAGAAGGAACAGGGGGGTTTTTAGTCAGTAAGAGTCTGACACTCCCTCCTGCCCGGCCCTGGGCGGGAGAAGTCATTTGATGATTTTCCCCTCACAAAAAAAAAAAAAATCTTAAATGCACATCAAGCTACCTATTCACAGCTAAAGGATTTTCATCCTTAAACTTTATAAAGAAAGTTGAACGTCTGTTTACATTTTTGTCAATTCGGTATAGCATGATAAGCTGTCGTATTGTTAAGAGTTGACCTTTAGTATATGACCGCGTTTTGTTAAGCTATTTTAATCAAAGAATTCGCCAACCCGCATTGAGCAAGCGTGGTGATTAATGCTCAAACCTTCTCTGTGTGAGAAGAGGCCCTTGCTCAGCAGTGGGCACTTTCAGGCTGATGATGATGATGATGAATCAAAGAATTTGTTTTATTATTGAGTTCATTGACAGTATTACTTGTGATGACGTGTGAAACTGAGACGTGGTCTCTGATTTCTGGTCTTTTTAAGACCATCAGACTATCAGTCTTCATAACAACTTTCGTGAGACATTCTAAATTAATTATTATATTTTTGGCTTACTCACGTAATAATTTGACGAGATACTCGACTAGTTTCAAGCCATTCATTGAGTAGCAGCGCGACAGTCGCCGAGTCGCGTGTCGCAGAATGCTGCTCATGAATATGGACCCTAGCATGGCTTGAAACTAGTCGAGTATCTCGTAATAATAATTAACTCTCAGAGTCGAGTCAGCGTGCGAAGTTAAATAATTGAAATTGCACGATGACGGATTTAGGGTGACACAGTGAGGTCATTGTAGGTGCAACATCTAAATGATTAAAAAGCCTATGATTAATATACTCTGACAAGGGAAGATTCGGTGACCTTCCCCTTTAAAAAAAACACTTCTTATCAACGGTACCTGGAAGAAGATTCCAGGTACCGTTGCTGCTCAGTTTACGTGTCGGCAAAAGAATACAAATAGGTGTGGGAGAGCCATGCTTCGGCACGAATGGGTCGGCTCGACCGGAGTGATACCACGGCCTCACAGAAAACCGGCGTGAAACAACTACAGCGTTGTGTTTCGCCGTGTGAGTGAGATTACCTGAGGCCCAATCGTTCCTCTCCCCCAATCTCTTATCCCTAAAAGGTTGGCAGCGCACTCGTAACTCCTCCGTTGCGGGTGTCCATGTGCGGCGCTGATTGCTTACTATCAGGTAATCCGATTGCCGACCTATTAAATAAAAAGAAACACAACAAAAATAACGATTAGCAATATGGGTGTAGACTTTGTTGAGTTACGCACTTACAAATATAATTTGGAACTCATTTTTATATATAATACCTGCCCCGGCTTCGCACGGATGCAATCCTGATACTAAATGTCTCCACTATTTAACGGATGTCATTATACATATAAACCTTCCTCTTCAATCACTCTGTCTATTAAAAAACCGCATCAAAATCCGTCGCGTAGTTTAAAAGGTTTAAGCGTACATAGGGATATAGGGACAGAGAAAGCGACTTTGTTTTATACTATGTAGTGATAGACTCAAAATCTTTTGTACATTAGCGAAAAGAAGGAATGATTACATACAATATATGTATGTTTGTAAACACATAAAAAAGTTTACGAGACCATCTTTATTTTCATCCCATTTCGAAAGGAATTTTATTTATCTAATGTTTTTATTTATATTCGTGCGTTGTAATGTACACAGCGGAGCGCGTGGGTATCGACATTGCTTTACCATTACAAAAATAACTGACAGACGCCATTTTTTTATACGATTCTAAACAATCAATGATTTGCATTTTGTTTTGGGAAATATTTTAGACAACTATGATCATCAATGAGCCATAAAACGGCGCCTTTTACACGTCAAATTATATATAAAAAAACAAGATGAAGCCGGCATTTCTTATCTGACTACTCTGAGAGGAAATGCCGAAACAAACTCAGAGGTCCGTCTCTTTTCAAGTCCAGACAATGTGAAAAATGATATAATGTGAGCTCAGAATACAGAACAAACAGTGCAAGGTTATTCTGTAGTCCCGTTGTGACTGGAAAAACTGGAAAACTAGTTGAGGTTTTCTCAATTTACTCACTTGATTAATTCATTAACTATACTAATACTATAAAGAGGTAAAATTTGTAAGTTTGTATGTAGGGGGTAATCTTTGGAACCGCTGGTCGGATTGCCTAAATTCTTTCACTTATAGAGAGTGCTATAGGCTATAAAACATCACTCTACGATCAAATGGAGCTGAGCAGCGAGTGAAACCGCGCGAGAGTAGCTAGTATAATATATCACTGAGGGAAGAGGAAAATATTTAGTTTTTTCTTCTAAATATTTCCTCAAATAATATCTTCTGATTTATTTCGTTGCGGGATCCAAGACAGTCATTCATGTCCCTGGGACAAAGATTACCCCCTACATACAAACTTACAAATTTTACCTCTTTATAATATTAGTTTATGGATAGATTAAAAGTGTGACGTTCAATGATCACTTAGATAATTTCTTAGTTACCATGGCAACGAATTGCCAACATTGGTATAAACACACCTCCTAATTAATTATTTCAATCAAATAATAATTACGTAAAAAAAAAATTATTATTAAAAAAACAAAATACCCGACTGCACACTAAAAAAAGAGTAAAACAAGCCCCACAATACAAATTTACTGAATATAATTTATAAATGTTGATGGAAAGCATCGCAGGCGGGGACCAACAGAGGCTTATTTATAGTCATTTCTGTTGTGCACCATTTAGCAGAATTTTCGTTGGTGGCGGTCAAGGTGGTCCCCGCCTGCGATGCTTTCCATCAACATTTATAAATTATATTCAGTAAATTTGTATTGTGGGGCTTGTTTTACTCTTTTTTTAGTGTGCAGTCGGGTATTTTGTTTTTTTAATAATAATTTTTTTATTTATAACTTTTTAGCTGTTTTATTTAACGAAAATGTTGTAGATGTAGAAGACTATGTATATGTAAGTACCATTTTAAATTATTTCGACGACATTTGGCTTTAGATTACGAGTGATGTTACTCCGCAACATAAATTCTTTTTGCTTGCTAACGCATGAGTTGCTTTGCGTTGACGCAGAATTAACATGTTCCCGTGGGAATTTTGAGAAAAAACGTATCCTATATTAATTACTCCCGTGATTGAAATGAATCTAATGATACCGCATACATATTTTTTTAAAGGGAAATTTAGAAAAAATATTATTATGTCTTTATCCCGTGGGACTTTTAGGATAAAATGTATCCTATGACACTCCCGTAATCAAGACAAATCTAACGATACCTCATACATCAAAATCCATCAAGCCGTTTAGGCTACAGGAGGTCACAAAGGAAAAGACATACATACATACTTACATACACTCGAAAAACATTACCCTCCTTCTTTGGCAGTCGGGTAAGAAGATAAAGAATCAATCTTATCGTTCTATCACATTGTTGGCGAAACTATCAAGTCCATTATTGGCAATCTATGAAGTCTTTAATTTATTGCTTAGGTAGGTAATTAAAGTGACTGATTTAATTAAATTCTCTGCACGGTTGGCGCGCTGGCTTGACAACTGGCTGCGGCGCAACGTGTCGCCGGGTCGATACCCAATTGAAATTAAATATATGATTTGATTTATTTACGAAACGACAAGCAGAAGCAACGTTTAAGAAATTATCCCAGACTGGAATTGTTGTCTCCTATGCCGTGGGTGCGGTTACAAACATACATTTTTACATACACATCACATCTAAGAAAAACAATTTGTGGATAACATATAGGTAGTGTTGTTCCGTGCGGGAATCGAAGAATAGCCTTCCTCGATAAATGGTCTATCAAACACAAAAAGATAGACAAGTATATCCAGAAATTAGCGAGTTGAAACAGACAAATAAATAATAAATACTTACAATCTATACTAATATTTAATTATAAAGAGGTAAAATTGGTAAGTTTGTATCTTTGGAACCGCTGGTCGGAT